CGTATGAGCGCTGCCCCCGTCATGATATCAAAATCGTGCTTGGCGACTTCAATGCCAGGGTGGGCAAAGAAGGGATCTTTGGAACCACCGTCGGAAAATTCAGCCTCCACGACGAAACGTCTGACAACGGATTGAGGCTGATCGACTTCGCCGGGGCCCGAAACATGGTAGTAGGCAGTACTAGGTTCAAGCATAAAAAGATGCATCAAGCTACCTGGCTGTCTCCGGATCGAAAAACGAGAAACCAAATCGATCATGTTGTGATAGACGGAAGGCACGCTTCCAGTGTTTTAGACGTATGCAAGGAAAGTTAACGTCGAAAAGCTGCAATCACAACAGACAGCCAGCGCTTTCGCTACTCGACTCTCACACCTGCTCTCAGAGAGCACTCTTCAACAAACCGACATATGCGAGCAGTGGAACCACATTTCCCGCTCATTAAGTACCGCCGCCGAAGAAGAAGTCGGATTTCAGCGAGCCCGAAAGAACAACTGGTACGATGAGGAGTGTCAGGAAGCTGCAGATAAAAAGGATGCCGCCTACGGGACCACGCTGCGATCGGGCGCAACGCGCGCTATGTGGGACCGCTATAGGGATCTGAAGAGGGAAGCGAGACGTATTTGTCGCAACAAGAAGAGAGAGGCAGTAATACGTGAGTGCGAAGAGCTTGAAATGCTGGCCGACAGGAGGAATGCCCGAAAATTTTACCAGAGAGTTAGGCGACTTACGGAAGGGTTAAAGACCGGGGCGCACTCCTGTCAGAACAATAATGGCGACCTAGTAACTGATGTCCAGAGCGTACTTAAATTATGGAGGGAACACTTTTCCGCCCTACTAAATGGTAGCAGCACGGAAAGTTGTGGAGAAGAAGAACCCGAGCCCGCAGTCGATGATGACGGAGTCGACGTTCCACCGCCTGACTATGACGAGGTACGTATAGCAATAACGCGGCTGAAAAACAACAAAGCCCCTGGAGCTGACAGCCTGCCAGCTGAGCTATTCAAGTACGGCGGCGAGGAGTTGATAAGGTGCATGCATCAACTCTTGTGCAGAATATGGTCAGATGAACGCATGCCCGACGACTGGAATTTAAGTGTGCTCTGCCCAATCCACAAGATAGGTGACCCCGCCATTCGCGCCAACTACCGCGGGATCAGCCTTCTAAGCATAGGTTACAAGGTCTTATCGAGCGTATTGTGTGAAAGACTGAAGCCCACCGTCAATGAACTGACTGGCAAATCCACCATAGACCAGGTATTCACAATACGCCAAATCTTGGAAAATACCCGCGAGAAAAGGATCGACACTCACCACCTATTTGTCGACTTTAAAGCCGCTTTTGACAGCACTAAGAGGAGTTGCCTATACGCCGCTATGTCTGAATTTGGCATCCCCTCAAAACTCATACGGCTGTGTAAAATGACATTGAGCAATACCACCAGCTCCGTCAGAATTGGAAAAGACCTCTCCGAGCCGTTCCCCACAAAACGTGGTTTCAGACAGGGCGACTCCCTTTCATGTGACTTCTTTAATCTGATGTTGGAGAAGATAATAAGAGCTGCAGAACTGAACCGCTCAGGAACAGTTTACTACAAGAGCGTGCAATTGCCGGCTTATGCCGATGACATCGACATCATCGGTAACAAAAACCGCGAAGTCTGTTCTGCCTTTTCCAAGTTGGATAGGGAAGCAAAGCGCATGGGTCTGGTGGTAAACGAGGACAAGACGAAGTATCTCCTGTCATCAAACAAACAGTCAGCACATTCGCGCCTTGGCACCCACGTCACTGTTGACAGTTACAATTTCGAGAAAGTAGAGAATTTCCTTTACTTGGGAACCAGCATTAACACCGATAATAATGTCAGCATTGAAATCCAACGTGGAATCACTTTTGACAACAAGTGCTACTTTGGACTGATTGGGCAATTCAGGAGTAAAGTCCTCTCTCGACGTACGAAAACCACGCTCTATAAGTCACTCATCATGCCCGTGCTGGTATATAGCGCAGAAGCATGGACAATGACAACATCCGATGAGGCGGCTCTTGGGGTGTTTGAGACAAAGATTTTGCGGAAGATTTACGGTCCTTTACGCGTTGGCGACGGCGAGTACCGCAGACGATGGAACGATGAGCTGTATGAGCTTTACAACGATATGGACATAGTGCAGCGAATTAAAATACAGCGGCTCCGCTGGCTTGGTCATGTCGTTCGAATGGACACCGACGCTCCAGCTCTGAAAGTATTCAACTCGGAACCCGCTGGTGGTAGCAGAGGAAGAGGGAGGCCGCCACTGCGATGGAAAGATCAGGTGGCGAAGGACTTGGCTTCACTTGGCGTTTCCAATTGGCGTCAGTTGGCACAGAGGAGAAACGACTGGCGTGCTTTGCTGAACTCGGCCAAAGTCGCTTAGGCGGTTACAGCGCCAAAAAAGAAGAAGAAGAAGAAGAAATTACTTTACGCTATTTCCAATTATTATATTTAAAAATCCCCAACAAAATTTTGTGTTTTGAAATTTGTATATTAAAAAATTTAAAATGGCAAAAGTAAAATTGTGCCAATTTATCCGAGAAATTATTTATGGGAGAATGATTAATAAGAGGTAAGCTTTAACCATTATTACATTTTTGCGCAATTTGAGACTTTTTTTAATATTATTTCTGAAAACTTATTTATTTGTATAAGATCTACAATATATATATATATATATACATATATGTATATATTTAAAGCTTTAAAGTTGAAAATGGTTTATTCGAAAGCAAATATAATGACGAAATAAAAGACATGTGGTTAACTAAAGATAACTGCCGCATGAAGCACTATCTTTACTTGAGAAGCTATCTTTACCACAGAAGACAACGACGAACTTTATTAACACTTTCAATCCTTCTGCCCAATCTTTATTACTGATACACTTTCTAACCAATTCCACTAATCAAATCGTGTTTTGTTTTCTGTTTTTTAGTGTGCGTAAGACTAAAAAAGTTAAATTTGATTCACAAAAAAAAAGTTCTACTTTAACTATACAAAACTAATTATCCGACATTGCCATCTCCAAACACTCTTTCTTCTAAAAGACTGTCCAAATCAATTGCCATTTCAAAATTCGAAACTTATATGCGAGCTCGTAATCAGCGATATCAAAAATACCAATATACCCTGTTTTAAAAAAGTTTACCGAATTCTTCATTTTTCTATTCGCCCTATTTGACCCGCTATTTTGAATTTTTAAATCTGACTTCAGATTCGTAATAAGCGCACCTTTGCATTCCATGTTTTATTAAAACGCCTTCATTTCTAAATTTTTGTGTTCGTCATATTTGATCCGCTATTTTGAATTTTTAAAATTTGACTTCAGGTTCGTAATCAGCGACCTCAAAACCATATAGAAACAAGGTCGTGTCAAATTGCCTCAAAGCGTCTTTGAACAAATAGTTTTGTCCACCTCAATTTGGATTTCAGACCACTGTGCGCCATAATAAAATTGACAAATTGCGAAGTTTCTTAATGTGACCTTTATGGTATGTTACGAACCCGCTAAATACATTTTTAGAAGTTTCAAGCTTACGACATACAACAACACAACACTTAGGAGCACTTTCGGTAGAAGAAATATTTTTGAAGATTCTCATCTTTATATTACATTTTCATTGGCCCCAAATACCTGCTTTGAAATCAGTCATTTGAAGGTGTTTACACTGCTTGATCCTCATTTGTTTCGACTTCTCATCAATTGAAAAGGGAAGACAAAAACAAAATTAATGTAAACAAACACTATATTTATTATATTTTTAACACTTTTTGGACACAAAAAGACAATTATTCTTTGATTTAACTAAAAATGTGTAAATCTTACGTATAAAGCCAAAGCTTTTGTGGAACTTTTGTTTCCAAGTGAGTTCAATAAAATAGTACGGCAATTGAAACGCATTTTCTTCGTGAGTTTGTTTAAATGCGCAGAAATACGTCATTCTGGAAATGCGAATTTGTATGAAGAAATGTGTGATTTGGTCACGCATTTCAAATTCCTCGCCCAAATGACGCACTTGGGCTCAATGTAACAGTAATATTAATTTGAGCCACAAATATTTTTTACTCTTGTTTGACCGAGCTTCAAAATTTTACTCGTTTTCAAATTATGAGTAATGAGTCCAAAATTGGCAATATGTAATAAATTAGTTCACACATGTTGTAAAAATTCACTAACTGAGGCCATGAAAGCAGAAGTGGCCCAAACTTTTTTGTTTTGTAGTTAACTTCTTGAAATAGTTCCAAAAGTTATAAATTTTAAAATAAAGGTTGCTCATTCATTAATTTCGTGGTACGTAATTTAGCTTTGTACCTTAAAATTAAGGAATGAGCGACTTTTATTTTTAAATTCATCCCATTTGAAACTATTTTAAGTCGACTGGTACAAAAAAAAATTGGGTTAGGCCACATCTGCTCTCGCGGCCTCAACTACCAATACCTTCATTGGATAATCTTCAAAGATTTAATTTTATTTTGCTTAAAGATAAACTCTGGTCCATAATTGAGACATAAAAAATAAAAACCCCAAAGGCATCCAAAGAAGATTTTTAAATTTCCAAAAAATTCTAATAAAAGATGCGAAAAATAATAATTTTAATATGGTTATTGAGCTTTATACCACGATTATGTTTATTAGGAAAAATGGAAAAAGCAACAAAGTCTAAGCGGGGTGTGCATAGCTCACTGGGTTCGATCCCTGCTGCAGTCTAGAAAAAATAAGTCTGATGAGGAGATGTGGTAATCTCCGAAATAGCACCTGTAACTTCTACCGTTTAGACTTTGTTGCTTTTTCCATTTTTCCGAATAAACATAATCGTGGTATAAACCGCAATAACAATATTAAAAATAATATGTTAATAAGCCACAATAACATTGACAAAAATAATTTTGTTCTAATCAAATAACTTAAATGAAAAAATTAGCGGAAAGCAATTATTATCGCCTTAGCTCTTACCGCATTATTTCCACTACAAAAAGCATGTGTCACAAATAGTCGCAAAATTTCAAAAAGTTTTCAAATTCCAACATTCAATTGTTTACACATTCTTGCATCTCGTGCACGCACAAACACTACCTCTTTTACAAGTATTATTGTATTTATATATTTTATATATATGTTTACGTTTACATTGGCACGCACGCCTGCTCGACCGGCCGGAAATGCACAAACGACGCCGGAAGCGCACACAAAATTGCGGCGAACACCTCGTAATTCAACGTGCCTGTGTAGGCAAATAAGCTTGCCGGCAGAAATTTATGACTTTCGAGGGGATGAATTGCTCGCTTTACATTGTAGCATTTTTTTTTTACTAATGTTTGAAAGCTGTTTTTTGTTGACTTTTAGCTCGAAATTTTTTAACTTAAATTTTTCTGCACGTAATTCTATAATTTCATACTATTTATGCTTATTCATTTAGTCATGATTATTTTGCTATTATTTACTTGATTATTTTTCCATTGCAGTACTTTAGCATGTATTAAATTTTTAATTAAAACGCATTCAAGGTTTCTTAACTTCACTTGAGATATTCCTGTAAATTATTTGGCATTATTTCGTACACTTCGTTAGCGTTGTTAGCTTATACTTCAAACTTTTCTATTTTGTTTTAATTTGATTTATTTAAGCTTCCAACTTTTTTTTGTTATCGCAACATTATTCCTTATTTTCTGTTTCCAAAAACTTTTCTCATCTTTTATCAAATCACTTATCACATCAACACTTTTGTTACCTCTTTGAAAATCAATTCCGTCTTTTAAACTTTCGCTTATATAAATTTTCTATTGCAGAAATGGATGCATGTCACTTTGCACTTTTAGCGCTTTTACTGCATCGTATCCGCTTTGAGCGCGCTCGCTGGCCTAACCGCTGCTTTGGTCGCTAGGAGGAAACGTTCCCGTCCAATGCTAATACCGACACAAGACTGAATCGAGTCCATTGGTGGAAAATTAGTTTTTCCTCGTTTGTAGCGCGCGAATGCTACACCGACTACACTACTGTTAGAAATACAACAACAAAAAACAAACATTAATTCGTAGCACACGAAGTTGAGATTGTCTAACTACTGCCACAGTGCCGAGTGACATAGACATCTTCGGTTTCTACAATTTTCGCATTCAATTTCGAAAATCTGCTCACAGACAAAAGGCACCAAAGGCTTCACATCGTTCAGCGTAGCGTATGAGTAACATAATAAATGCTAAGAGAAAGAGAAAGAGCGCACGAGAGAAAAAGTTCACAGGAATGAATAGTACAAGGAGAGAGCATCTACCTTCTTCACTTTTCTACGCATATGTTCGCGTTATGTTTAGCGAGTGTTGGTGCCAAGTTCCGCGCTTCCTGTTTCACACAATCGCGTACTTAGTGATTGAGCTGCAGCCGCTGTTGTAATTGGAGGCAGATGATAAGCCATATGCTGATAAGGATGAATTGTGGATGATATACATAAACCGCGTATCGTTATTCTGCAAAACCGCGTAATTGACATTTGCTGCCAAAAGTTGGATTTGCTCACACAAGCTCTTGGCCCAATCCGTATCCATTCGTTCTGAAATATACTAGCCAGAAATGCGATTGCTTTATAAAAAATTGAACCATTTTGATATATGAGTGTTCTTACTCTCTAGAAATTAATTTATGCAACCTCACATACGCGGTTTTGCATTTTGTTGATAGGCGGCTTTGTACTTTAAACGACGATATGTATTACATAGAAGCTCAGCCAAACACTAACATATGTGTAAGCGCCAATCTATTATTATTATTATGTATTACATATACAACAGGAATATGGAACTTAAATCGTCTAAATAATTGAAAAAATTTACATACAAACTGCATTATTGATATTATAATATTAAGAAAATTTCCTCAACTGTTTAAGTGGCGTAATATAAGCTGTAGGAGAATAGAAAACTAAGGAAAAAAGTACAAACTGCTAGAACCATTTCTGAATGGCGAAAACCTGCAAATATTAAAATAAAAATGCGTATTCCTTAATTTCAAGGCGCAAGATATAGCCTTTACCATCAAGTAATGGAATGAGTGAATTTTATTTTATAATTTATCACATTTGAGGCTAATTAAGTAGGTAAGTACACAAAAAAAAATGTTTGGCTTAGACCGCTTCTGCTCTCATGGCCTCATATGTATGTGTCTTTTTCTGAAATAGAACCCACTGGGATAATGTACGACCAAAACCAAGCTTCCTTTGGAGCGTCAAGTTTAGGAAAATATAAACTTCTGTCTAAAGTTTGCAAGTAACAAAAATTGTACTCTCTCTATTTACGTATTGGCATTCATTCATATGAACATATATGTATATATGTATATTGACGACTAAACGCATAAATTTTCCTCATAAATTTGAACTCTCAAAAAATTTATATTTTCTTTTAACTTTAAGAATGTAAAGAAACGGATGCTGGTATTTTAAGCAAAATAAGTTTATCATATTCTTTAACAAAAATAATAAAAAGAAAAAATTTATGAAACAAAATAAAATACGCTAAAAATTGTACGCGTGCATTTTTTTAGCCTTTGAAAGCAATTTGTTTCGCGCCAATAAGGAGCATTCCATAAACGTGCATCTCAAAAACACAGTCCACAATTCATTCGCTCATCACCTCTTAGTGCCACCATTTCGCTACACGCATGCTGGACGCCAGCTCTACAAAACTCAGAGAGCGCTGCACGCAATTTCGAACAAAGAGTGTGTTTGTATGCATTTCTGTGTAAGAATTCAAAGCTGAAATGCGCTTATCGTAACAACATAATATAATGAATATATTAATAGCTTTGCAGTTTGATTTTGTATGATTAAGAGATTTGGTGCTTCACTGGGTTAATGCACTTTCTCATCATCCACTTGTGAGCGTTTCCGGACTCGCTATTTTGGTTAGTTTAGTTATAGGGAAATGAAAGTTTGAAATTAAATAAAAACTAATGCAATTAATACCTGCCATGTAGTCAAGTATTTTCAAACAAACTCAAACAGTACTTAGTATTTCTTTTATAGTCTATGTTGATAAAAGTAAATTGTAAATGTAAGTGTAACAGAGATACAGAAAGAAAATCTAATGTGGAAATTTGAAGGATTTCAGTAATAAAAGTTAAGAAAATAGTGAAAATGCGTATATAACGAAAGAAGGTTTAAGTTAGTAAATTTACATGTATATATTTTGAAGTTAAATTTTGTTGATTGTTTGCATGAAAGTTTTATTTAACAGTATGTTTGACAAGCTAAAAACTTCATAAAATATAATGATCTTTCTTTCAGTAAGCATTTTTTTGCTCTCCTGAAAAATTATAATTTTGTCTTTTACAACGTTATTCGCGGGGATCCTTCAAATCATGTTTGAAAATTATTTTGACAACATTTTTAATTTTTTTTATGGTGGTAAAAACGAAAAATGAAATGAAACAGCTTTATATGATCCAAATAATAAGCTACGAACAAAGCTGTTTTTACTATTTTAAACCTTATTTTTTTGCGAACGGTATTTCTCTGATATATGTTATCTACTCCATATAACAATATTTATACCCGATCAGGTTGTTCGATAACCAACATGAAAGAAAGTTTAAACAAAGAAGAAATGAAAAAATGCGCAACTGTTTGTGAACTCCCACCTTAACTATTGTTTTATTCTATTTTTTGTCTGAACAATTTTATCAACATAAGCGCAGCTTTCTATTATAACATTGTCCCTCCGAATTTTCCAGAATGTTAGTTTTATAAATTTTGCCGTGATATTAACTTTAGTTGTTTTGCTTGCCTATGTTCATTGTAGTTAACAAGCGCAAGAAGTTGTTGATCGAATGACATAAGAAATATCTTAATAGAAGTAATTATTTTGTGTTTTTCAGTAAATCTATACTTGCACCATGGTAAGTACGGCTAAATGTTTCCTGAATGCCACCCAGTGTTTTATGCAAAAAACACTAAAAATAAGATAATTAGCAATGCGTTTTTATTTCTTAAGGAGTTTCAATGGTTTCCTTGTTTTTATATTTTCGTAAAATAAGACTCTTAGAAATAAAAAAAAGGTTGAAATATTTCCAGAATTTCACTTTCAGATGGAAATGAATTTTTTAATTAAATAGCTTATGTATCCAAAAGTGTTTAAAATACATATATGGTAAGTTGTTGCCGAAGAAAGATTAAACTAAAGGTCTGCATCCCAAGAAAAACTCCCTGCAACATTAGCTTATGTGATAAATGTGATATGGGCATTCCCATGGTGGCGCACGTGACAGTCGTACGATTTCAATGTGATACAAAAAAGGAATACCATTTGTTTTCTTTAACTTTTTTGGGCCATTGTATAGCACATAATTAGCTCTATATTTAACCGAAAAAATGAAATCAATCGAACTGCTTGGTCCTGAAATATAAACATTTAAAGAGAGGGTCGTTACGTGACAAAAAATGGAAGTTGATTTTTTCTTTTCTTACAAAATCGCAAAACTCTGCGAATCGTGGATGGCTATTTTCATGAAACTTATTTTAATATGATTTGGAGCAATTCTAGTTGTTTTTAGAGTTTTTTGAATTAATGCAAATTGTTTCAATTCTCTTTTACAACCCCAAGTGTGAAACGTGACGTGACGTGGCGTCACGTGACATAAATTTCCATCGTTATATTTTTGTTAATATTGCTTTTAAATGAATTTTTAACGCAAATAAAACATGTATTTTATGTAGAATATACTTTATATTTTAACTTCAGCGCCAATTCAGGGTCAATTTATTGGAAATCTATGATTTATTATGTTCCAACCACATACGCCAAATTCGCACCAAATCGGACCATAAATAAGGTTTTTCGAAATATCTCGACCTTGGCACCACCTAGGAAGATCATTTTATGCAAACATGATTCTACTTACATAGCCAGTATATACTTTAAACAGCAGACAAATCGGCCCGTAAATACGTTAGATATAAAACTTTTATTTTTTTTGTCGTGGTGGACCTTCCGCTGGAAACACCCATATGCAAATGTTTAAAAGGCATGCATTTGGTGTTACAAATGAGTACAATGCTTATCGGTTAGTATATTTTTTTCTATGAGTTTCCAAACTTATTCACACCTTTAGCTTACTTTTAAAAAGTGACATTCTGGAAAATATTTTACAAAAATGCAAAAATAAGAAAAAAATAATTAATTTTTGAAGAGCCTGAAAGCAGTTTTGTATTCTGCACAAATTTTCCCGTCGGTAAACGATTTCAGAGGATAAATTTATCAATCTTAAAAAAAAAGATAAGAGATACCTGAAATGTACACTTTTTTGGAAATGACCCATATACAGTTCCATTAATGAACTTGTATAACACGGACACACGAAAGTATGCACTCTTTTGTGTTTTATGTCAGTTTTTGGCCGTAGTGTTAATCCAATTTAAAAGTATGCAAGCTTATAATAAAATTGAGTTGCACAGAATATTTTGGCATTTTTTCTTAAATATCGTTGATTATAAGTCTATTAAAATTTTTATAGAGGACAAAGAATACTTCGAGTTCTTTTAGGAGTACATACATGCATGTATTTTCGCTGAGTATCTTAGTGAATTTTTGCGAGTTGACTAAAGGCTCAAGCTTATTAGCCGACTTCCAAAAAAGGTGGGGGTTATCAGCTCGTCGGATTTTTTTTTTATGTATGCTACTGCATAACCGATGTTGATAATTCTTTTTGCATCGGAAAGGTAGTGTCTCAGAGGTGGTCCCATACTAATCTGGTTTAGATCCTATCATTGGATCATGAAAAAATGAACGTTACTCCTAAATTTTTATATGAGAATTGAAATCGGTTTTGTTTTTTGCTTAAAAATTACTTTTTTATTGAGTCAGGTCAGTGGCGCTAACTGACGGTGCCACCTTTTCTCACAACATTGTGAGTATGCGGTCTTAAAATGATCGTTCACTTGCCATGGCGGTGTTTACAAGCACTGC